CTGACGCCTTATGCTCCGCCAAACCACCAGTTGAGGCCATTACCCAGCCGGAACACGCCTGTACGCTGTTGCTCCGCCAGACCACCACTTGAGGCCCTCACTTCGCCGGACCACCTCCTGATGTCGTTTGCTCCACCGGATCACCAATTGCGGACCCTCACCACGTCGACCACCGCCTGATGTCGTTGCTCCGTCCTGACCAACCATTGAGGCCCCTCACCTTCATCGGACCACCGCCTGATGTCATTGCTCTACCGGACCACCACTTGAGGCCCTCACCTTCACCGGAGCACATTAAGGCCTAGACTTCTGCCGGGCCACCACTTTATGCCGAGAGTTTCCTAAGTACCACCCTTCTACAACGGTCTTTCTAAACCTCGTCTTTTGCTCGACTACGTCCTCCAACCTCCATTGGCCTACTATGGTCCTTCGGACATCCATCAACAGACAAAAGGTCTTTCTGGCCACGGTCTTCTTGCGACTACAGTCCTTCTGACTCAGTCGCCTACTATGGTCCTTCCGACTCCATCAATAGACAATGGTCTTTTGGCCCTAGTCTCCTGCCGACTACGATCCTTCTGACCTTCATTGCCTACTATGGTCCTTCCGACCTCCATCACCAGGCAACGTTTTTTCTAACCCCGGTTTCCTGCTAACTCCTGTCAACTACTGTCCTTCCGACCTCCATCACCTATAATGGCCCTTCCAACCAAACAAATATGTCTATGTTGATTATTGTAACTCCCACCATGTAATGCGCTCTATAGATGTACATTTGTAACATCAAGCCAGGCCTTTCCCTAAGAAGGACCTCATTTGTAATTCGACTATAAATACTAAGGATTCATTCAAATTGGCTAAGCCCCGTGGTTTTTCCCCTTTTTTAGGGGTTCTCCACGTAAAAAAGTCTTAGTGTCTCTTATGAACACTTACACCCTCTCACTTATCTTATTGTGTGTGGATCTTCGTACAATGCTAAGATATTAAATTATATATTTCTCTACTGCTGCGAATACTCCAGGACGCAATATATATATTATATATATATATATATTAATATATATATATTATATTATATATATTATATATATATGGGCTTTTTTTTTTTTTTTTTTAATTAAAACCCACAGTGCGCCTACGTGTTAATTTAAAAATCGGTTACAGGGTCCTTAGAAGGATCCTCCAGCTCTCTACGCTCATACGAGCTACAATCAAAAAGAAAAATAAAACCTACGAGCCAGTGGATCCTTTTTCTACCATTACAATAAAAACAAGATAAAATGCTGGTCTGCAAGACAGCGGAACCCAAAAACCGGAAGTGAAAAGTTCTTTCATTCAGCGTACACTTCCTGCAAAACAGAATAGCAAAATTTAAAGAGCACAAAAAATTACTAACCGAGAGTGGATTGCAGTTGTGGACAATTTGGAGCACCGAAAAAAAGCACCTGCAAAAACCTCTCCAAAAATTGATCTTAGAAGCACAATTAAAAACATAAAAGGAAACAGCAATACCCGTGAAAAATTGCCCCATGGACAGCAGGACATTCATCTTAGTCAAAAAACCATTAGCCAAATTATCTTCCGTAGCCCAGTTGTTCGCCAAAAACATGTCCAGCTTACCATTGCAGGTTTTAAAAATACCCCAGAAAATCATATCATCACCGAAAAAGTAACAAGAAAAATAAGAAGAAACAAAAAACTCCTGAAATTCCTGAAACAGAATGCCGCCTGACACCATCTCAGGGTCGAAAGCCTAGTACCAGTAAAAACACATCCAGGTAATACCAAGCAACGCCCCAGGCATCAAAAAATTCAAATTAACCATGGAGAATATAAGGAAAACCAACTTTATCTAACTGAATCATGCCCTTATCTCAGGGTCGAACACCTAGTACCAGTAAAAACACATCCAGGTAATACCAAGCAACGCCCCAGGCATCAAAAAATTCAAATTAACCATGGAGAATATAAGGAAAACCAACTTTATCTAACTGAATCATGCCCTTAAGAGGAGAAGGCAGATTAATGACAGGCAGGTTTTGAAGAATAGTACTTTGAGCCCCATATTTAGCTAACCAATCAGCACAAGCGTTTCCTTCACGGTAAATATGGAAAATAACACAGGAGAGATCACTCATCATTAACTTAATTTTTCTAATAGTGTAGAAATCGTGAGGGTTGGCATCCTTATTTTCAGAAATAGCATTAATAACAGAAGTTGCATCAACTTCAATATTAACATAATGAAAAACCAGATTTAAGCATCTTTCAAGCCCATAACTCAAACTCAGGAGCTCAGCAGACATAACAGAGCAAACAGCCAAAGAGCCATAAAACAAATCGAGAGGATTACCAAAGTGATCCAGAATAATCCCCCCAATACCCACACAATTGCTCCCAACCGAAGCATCAGTATTTAACTTCACAAAGTGTAAATTGGGTTTCACCCAATAAACGATACGAACTCTCCTCACCACAACATTAGCAGCAGCATTTAAACCCAAATAATCAGCTAAAGCATTACAATGTTTAAAATTCTTGCAAGAAATCAGATTAACAGAATTAAATTGTAACAATTTGTTCCTAATATTAGCAATAATCTGGTTTTCATCCATTTTGATCCCCTCATGCTTGGACTCATTTCTAGCTTTTTTCAAATACCAAATAATCAAGATGGGTAAAAGATTTAAAATGTGGCCCTTACCTTTAGTGAACCATAAAGCAAGCATATCCTTTAAATCACCGTGATTAGCAGTCATAGCCACCCCAGCCAAAGTGCTGAAGTGAGTCCACAAGCCAAAGCATAAAATAACAAATCCTCAGATATGCCGAAAGCTCAAAGAAGAGCCAGAAGATCTTCAGAATTTTTTCACCCGTAACTTTTAGGAAAAACAGCTTTCTTAATAATGATACCACTACTAAAATCATGAAGCTTTCGTAGTCGTTATTAGCAGCAGTTGTCAAATCAGTGCTAAATTTCTGTATTTGCAGCGGTTATAATCGATGCTAGACATGATCGATTTATTACACCGGTTTTAACCGCTTCTATATTAGCTTTATTACACGGGTTAAGCCGCTAATAGAAACGGCTTTTTATTTCTCCAATATTCCCTAGCCGATCCATTCGACCTGCGCGCTTCGTATACGATTCCTCCGGCCTCCCCTTAGTTCCTTGTAATCGCTCGCTGAAACATCTGACGTCGTCGCTTCCGAATCCCCATCCACGGCCAAAAAATAATACAGATTTAGAGGCGACGACGTTGGACGTTCGGAGGCGGCGACATTGGACGTTTGGGTTGGACGTCAACGCTGGTGGTTATTGAAATCTGAAATCGTATGGTCCTGAATTCAATTCAACAAATTTTAATTCAAATATTATCTTTAAATTCGTGTAGGTCATATAATTTTTTTTAAAATCTTATTAATAATAACTTTATTATTTTCATATGTTGAGATCTCACAAAGATTATTGGCTTCCATTATGATCATGATGCCCTTAAATTTTTTATTATTATTATTTTAAATGATCACATGGGACCTAATTAAATGTCTATTATCTCACTAAGATTTTGGTTGGGATAGTTTTTTTAAAGCTTTCTAAAGCAGCTTTTTTTGTAAAAAAATTTTAGTATTTAAAAGCTATAGAAAATAGTAAGAAAGTTATCTCAAACAAAGCTTAATTTAGTATATCCACGCAGTGATCCGAAGCACATCAAATATATAAATTATGTATTTGTTTGCATATACAAATTCTCTAGTAAATTGTATTTTAGGTATAGACATATTTTATCATTTAGAAGTTTTAATAATTATATCTTGATGACATTTTAAGTATTATCTATAAGATTGTAGATTGTTTAATTATACATACGACATATTTTATCATTTGTATCATTATCTAATGACATATATGCACGTATATAATTTTTTGGAGGTATTTGGTGTCTATTTCAGGAATATGTCAATATTTATGCTTAATTTTTTTAAGCTTAAATGTGTTGACTTAGATATTATAGTTTCATTTGGGATATTTTTTATTATTTTTTAAAATTATTTTTTAGCACAAATTTTTTTTGAAAGCGGTAAAAAAGTTGTGGCAAAAAATGGTCTCCTCCAACTTGCCCCATTTTAAAAAAATAATAATAAAATAAAAGAGGGATTCACAAGCTTATATTTGAATTTTTTATATAGTTATATATCTAATACATAAATCTCGATATTTATTTATGTAATATCTAAATCTCTAAACAATATTAATGATATGACGGATAACATTAGCTTATTTAAAATTTAATGCATATTTATATATTTATGTTTTGATCTTATGCAGATTATGGTATTATATATATATATTATAAAAATTTCAATGGTATATCCCTAAAAAAAATGTAAAAATTTATTGACATATATGCCCTTTTCCATTTGTCTTTAAGTCACTCCTAGCCATTTGGGGTAAGAAATAGAGAAATTTTGAAATTAAAACATATATAGCGATTTAATGAATTCAAAATTGGTTAGTGTAGGGCTTTAGATATTTATCTCATGGAGTTACTCATTTTGACTATAAACATATAAAATATGAAGGACATTAATTGACCCCTCAAATAACTAGAAAGATTTACGAATTTATATATGAATGCTTGGCTTAAGCTAGTTCATTTGAACTCAAATACAACATTTTTTATTATTGTTGAATTTGTCTCACCAAAGAATGATCCCGAAATCAACTCTTCAAGTTTCTAACATGAGTACTTAGTTTTATTCTTCGTTTGGGGCAACTTTCTAACTGCTTTTTAAAAAAATTTTTGTACTAAAAACTACTTTAGAAAGTAGTAAGAAAAATGTTGTCGTAAACAAAACCTTAATATTCCAAAATTCATGCCTTACCCAATGAACTTCTTTGGTATTGTAAGGAGTATTATCATCAATAATAATAATAATTATTATTATTATTTTTAGGAGCAAAACCTTAACAAACATAGCATTAAAAGATCATTGTGTTCATATTAACTTCTTCTACATAAATTAACTTCACAAGGAAGAGAAAGAAGATCAAGTGACAAAATAAAGTTTCAAAATGGTCTATCTGCATACAATTGATGCATCTCTATATGTATATATTAATCTACATATACAGCATATTACACCATAAGAGACTGATCATAGGAAAAAAGATTAATATCATTTACTTCTGATTGCAAGAGCTGTGAATACTCATCATATAGTCTCTCAAGCATCACTGAATCTTCCTGAACTGGCAAAAATTGATCAAGTCCCAAATCAAAATTAAATTGATTATCAGTGTCGAGAAAACCATATTCTCCTCCATCAGACCAATAATTATTAGCTGATAATTCCATTTCATCTGATGATCCTTTCTCTTCCTCGCTGCTGTTCTCCATCACATGAACCCTAGCTGTCAGTCGAGTAGGCTTTGGTGCATATATTTTGTTCTCATTATTACCTCTTATCATTTCTGTTTGGTTGCTAATATGAACACCTTGCTTCTGGCTATTTGAGGAAGATTTTGATTGTTTAGGCCTTGGGGTTGCTTCTCTTATCACCAATCCTTGCTTTTTGAGCTTCTTGCTTAGATGACTGTTCCAGTAGTTCTTGATTTCATTATCCGTTCGACCGGGAAGACGGCCTGCGATAAGCGACCACCTATTGCCGAGCAGACGGTGAAGGCGAATTATGAGATCCTCTTCTTCGGGGCCGATGTTTCCACGCTTGATATCGGGACGTAGATAGTTCATCCATCGTAGTCTGCAACTCTTTCCACAACGGAGAAGTCCTGCATGCATGCACATGCTTGTAAGGATAGAGCATTCATGATGATCAGCAAAAGTCACAACTCTGATATTTAGATTTGATTTGAGATAGTTTTATTATTATTTTTTTCAACAATTTTCTAGCGATTAAAATAAATCGGCCAATAGCCATTGGAAATAAAAGAAGTTATTAGCCGCAGATACCGGACGGAGAGAACCATTCGGTTTTCTCTCTATCTACAATAAAAATGCAGTCAAAGCGCAGCTGCTACAGTAACTGCGCTTTTACTGTAGATAAAGAGAAAATCAAACCGTTCTCTCCGTCTGGTGTCCGCACCTAATAATTTGCACCAAAATAATGGCTTTATGAGGCAATTAAAGCATTTGGAGCTGTGTCATGTGAGGATTTTTATTTGAAGAAAGTACAAATTAGTCTTCAAGGCATTTTGATTGACTGTTTTTCACAGGTGCCGTGCAAGAATCACACTCTCATTGGGGAAAACTTTTTTCACAAAAATGCAAAAGAACAAAAAGATATGAAAAGAGGTTTACACGCGACTCTTAATAAACAAATTGATCAAAGAAATCATATAAACCTGCTAGTTTGGGAAGAGATCTCCAGTTTCCTTCACCGTGGTTCTGAATATAGTTGGTGAGCAATGCGTCTTCTCTTGAAGTCCATGGCCCTCTGTGTATTCCAACCTTAGAACAGCATGGAGATCTTCCCATCTTCTTCTTGCTTATTTAATTCAAGCAGAGACAATTACTGATCGATATAAGGCTTAAGGTTATAGTGGAAGAGGAGATCAATTGAAGCAGCAGGGTACTTGAGAATGTTGAGAGCTATGAGCTCCTTTATAAAGCCTTCTATTCTCTCCATTTCTTCATGTGCTTAAATTGAAGAAAGAAAATATTATATATCTCTCTCTCTCTCTCTCTATCTATTTCTTTGTCGCTTTCTCTAATGAAACTCCCGAGCACGCACGGAGAAGACGAAGTAACCGTGAAAGTTGGCTGTTATCGCTGACTGATCAGCTGTTGTGTCAGTTTTACCAAACAGCGAGGGAAAGAATTTATGACAATACTTTCCATCACGCATACGCATATATCCAATTGAAAGCAAAATTGGGCTAAAAATATCTTAATTAAATGTTTTATTTAAAATATAACTAATTACTTTGAAACTTATTAGATTTAATTTTTATTGTTGTTGTCTGCTAGAATATACATGGCGATAGAGTTTGAATTTTACTTCTCAACGTTGTACGGATATACAACACACAAATAAAGAACACAATAATTTTATGTGAAAAACTTTAGAAATAGATAAAATTATGGAGTCATGGCCAATTAAAATGATTCTACTAATATTTGAATATATTACACATGATTGATCTATCCTATTGAGGGCGATCTGATTACAACAATCAACTCTCAAATTGAAATCTAGCGATGAGTGGAGATCGAATAGAAATCCAGCGACATTCGGTGATCGAGCAGAAATATAACACAAGGTAAAAGTAAACTATTGTAAATAACTATGATCCTGAGCAAGAACATCGATAAGAAATATGGTGGTTATTGTATTAGTCCCCTTCATATAGGAAAAGATTGTATGATCTTAAGGCATTAAGCGAGGTAGTGTCAAAGATGATGGTGGTCATTGACAATGGCTAGGATGGTTCTCTCTTAGAGGCAAAGGGAGTACGACCTTAAGATTGTTGATTAAATAATGCAAAGAAGGTCAAATAGGCCATTGAGGATTTCCTTAATAGCCAATCTCTTAGAGACAAAGATAACACAACATTGAGCTGATGGATAAAATGTTCAAAAAAAAAAAAAGTAACCGCTGATGATGAATGACATAATCATCCTTCTAAAGGTGAAGACATCATAATATGAGGTAGAAGATTAAATGGTGAGGAAATTTGAGCTAGCAATTAAAGATAGTTATGGCAGTCCCCCTCTTGGAGATGAAGGTGTCACGACTTTGAGACAACAAACAGGTCCATGTAGGAAGTTCATGGAGGTCATTGAATATGGTTTGTGTGAAAAGTGAAAAAACAATCTTTTTGAAATGAGAGAAGATCACATGTGAGGGGTACATAGATTTCAGAAATAACTACATTTAGGAAACTTAACGTGGAGGTATAAAAATTATAATAATAAGAGGAAATAGGCATAGATGCTTAAAGTTGTTATCATGTGAGTGGTGTCTAATATAGGGTGAGGTGACAATATATATAGCCATTATTTAGAAAGAAAATAATACATCATGCATATCATTTTTTACTACAATAAGCTCAAGAGAAATTTGTGAGCCTATTTAGTGAAAATGATGTTGGTAAGGATGAAATGTGCGCATAGCATATGAGAACTCTCCTTCATTTAGGAGACAAAAATATTGCCTTCATGGTAGTTCTTGTGATTCAAAACTGAATATAAAATCCATTAACCTATAGAACATATATGATATTTAAAATTATTATTTGTTATAAGGGAAATTTACATACATACCACTATATACCTCTCATTTTACATATCTAACACCTAATTTATTAATATACACTAATACCACTCAAAACCCTATTACACATCATTTCTACCACTCCGTCTCCACCCATGCATGATCACGACGTCTCCTTCCCGCCGAAAGGATATCTGCTTCGCGCATAGTGCCCGGTGCGTTTTGTCTCAGACTTCCTCCTTCCCGCAAAAATCCCCCATTGCTGGTGCTTCTCACGACGTGCCTTCCTCGCGTTTTGTCTCAGACTGGCATAGTGCCCGCCGTTTGGAGCTCGGATTTCCTTCAAAGGTATTTCGTAAGTGTTAAAAAAATATTTGAGAAGTTTTTTGTTTGGATACATTTGAAACAATCAGTGAAGAAAAAATATTGAGAAGTGATTATGATCTGTATTGAGAAGTGTTGAAAAAATATTTGAGAAGTTTTTTCCCCCATTGCTGTATTGCTTTTACATTTTTTGCTATCACAGTCATTGGTTGTTATCCCCCTCTAATCGAAACAAAAATTCCATTCTTTATCTTGGATTGTGAAGATAGCGTTATCCCCCTCTCCTTTGCAAATCAGAATCTTAGTCCAGAGGTGGAACAGGGTCAAATTGGGAGAAATCGAAAGGGTGCTCTATCATTGACCGGAACTCGTCTTCGAGCCGGAGCATGCACTGCTGCAGGAGATCGTCGGCGTGATTGACTGTCGGAGATGAATTGTGACCGCGTAAAGATGCGATGAGGGCGTCGACAGCGTCGAGGAAAGCAGCGGCGTCGGAGGCGTCCGACCATATGGAGCGGTCGGAGGAGAGGAAAAGGGAGATCTGGCGGTCGATTGAGGAAAAGGCGATAGGAGTGGTTTGTTCGTCACTGATGGAACCACCTGTGTGATGGTTGGCAGCGAGTCTCTCGCGAGAAAAAACTGTTCTCCAGCGGAAAGCCCACGCGGGAATGAAGAGAAAACGGAGTGAGGTATGCCACTAACGGAGTGGTAATTTTGTTGTGAAAATATAGAATAGGTGGTTGGAGTGTAATATTTAAGAATTAGGTGTTAAATATGTAATACACAAACTATAAAGTGGTATGTATGTAAAAATCCCTTGTTATAATTGATGATTAATACATACACATTAACATATTATTGGTTCATCTATTTGTGTATAATGTATTCCTTCAATGAATTTTACCAACCTAAGCCTTCAATATCATTACTAAAGCTAATATTTGTGATTATTTTTTCAATAGGATTTGCAATGGTAGGTGTTCCCCATACGACCTAGATTCTCTTAAGATGGAGTTCTTGAGAGGCTTCAAGAGAAGTGTTTACCATTTAATTTAAATGTCTTAGTATTAATGAATTTTTAAATGTGCTTGACATGAATATGTTACTGATATCTTATGATACTTAAGTGAACTTTGAAGTTTACATTTCCAAATATTTTGAAACCTTATAAAAAAATTTTAGGATATCAAAAAGTGTTCAACTACCATCGCTCATCCTAAAAAACCTTTTGTATTCCTATCATATGAGTAATTATTTTTGTGAGATGGATCCCACGAGATGTTCTACCAAGTATATGTATATGCAAATAAACCATTAAGGGTCATAACAAGATAAGGGTTGTAACAACCCAACTCGATAAGACCCATAGATAGATAGGTCATGTATATAAGCAATGCTTTTAATAATTTGGGGCTAAAGCAATGTAAGCAATTGCATAAGATCATGTTAATTTTAAATTTTCATTATAACTTAGGCCCTATATAGCTCTGCATAAGACTAGATTAACAAATATAAATATCCAGATCGCTCTTAACATAGGAACAATCTAATATGCCCATCATAGATCATAGAATACCATCACAAAGTCAATCACATCCATCAACATCAAATGTCATCATACACCCACCAAGATAGAACTAATTTTCATATTTCAGAAAAGCACAAAAAATAACATCCTAACATAAAGCAAGAATTTATTGTCATAACAAACAGTTCTAAGTGTGTTACAATCTGTTCGAGAGTCAACCTATTTGGTTTTAAGTTTTATTTACTAACTAATTTCTTTTTATTTGTTTAAACCGAGTAATTTTTTTTAAGTTAAACTATTAATGCATTAAGATTTAGTTAAAGGTTTTTGGATTTGTCATTTGAATTGTGATTTTATATGCTTAAGAGAAAATTAGATAATAGAGTCAATCATATGACGAACTTCATTCACTAATAAGTCCTAAGGCACAAGCATAATGCAATTATCCTACTTGAGAATGCTAAAATTCATTTCATTATTTATTTAATTATATTTAATTTCAGTATATGATTTAATACAGTGCGCTCAATTCTTTTGGTTTTGCTTATTGATTTATGTTTTAGGCTACGATAGCCTACTGAGCTCTGCTAGCTCATTCCTACTTTTGCTTTTGTTTTTCAGGCCCGGGGAAGGATAAGGAGCGAGCTAAGTAGTTGGGATAAATGGCTCTGATATGTGCTGTAAGTATGTTTTGTTAATTTTGATTTTTGCAGGCTTGGGTTTTATTTTATTCTTTTATTGTGCTCTCTCTTGCCAAGCATTATTGTAGATATATTTTAGATTATATATGTTTTGTATGATATATAAAAAAATTATGTTGAGATTCAGTAATCTTCCGTCTTATATTGCATTTAATAGCGGCTCTGTATAATATAAAAATTGGAAGTTTTGTTTCAGTACTATTCCAACCAGATCTTGGGGTCAGTCTTGCCACAATCAGATACGATATGAATTGTGTGATATCGAGTCATATTGGGTTGGATTGTGACAGTTCAATTGTGAAAAGACTGTCCCCAAGATTCGGATGGAGAAACACTAAAATAAAACTTTCCAAAATATACATTACATAGAGCCACCACTGAATACAAATAAAGTGGAAGACTAATAAATCTAAAAATAATTTTATTATTATTATTATTATTATTATTATTATTATTATTATTAT